ATTTTGTCCTCATCAATTACTGTACTAGCATATTGCCAGTCATATTGTGAGGGTGTTATTGGTACATCCGTCCAGTTCGCCGTTCCAGGAAAGACAGAACCTGGGAAGTGAGTTTCCATAAGAATCTCAGCACTCTCCTGGAGGTTGGCGGCTTTGTCGCCATTTTCCCTCGTCAGGATGCCGATAGTCTTATGGTGGTCATTTGAGAGTGCCTTCTGTAGCCTAGAAGCTACCGATCACCGGTAGGCGTGTGTGCCAGGTCCCGTTCCCACATGTGGTTCACTATTGGAATTTGGACGACCGGTATAAAATCGGCCGTCCACAATCGGTGTGTGTGCAATTACCCTTAAAGCTCCGCATTTCAAAAATGATTCACCGAGCACAAGACAAGTTAACATAAGTTTCAAAACAGTAATAAGCAGACTCAAAGATGTTAGTTTGAATCCAAAACATCCTGCCAGAGTCCTTAGGCTTCTCCCACGTCACAAATATAGACGGTAACAATTTGCCATAGCCCATGTCAAGTCAAATGAACATCAGTGGGGAAGAATTCTCTCCACAGATGAAACAAGAATACAGTTATGGAAACCAGATGGACGTGGTCGAGTATACAAAAGATCTGGATAACGTTTCGCAGATTGTAACTTGTACATAAAGTTAGCTTTGGTGGTGGTTCCATTATGTTGTGGGGTGGCATTAGTTGGAACAGTCGCACTGAGCTTATAGAGGTGACTTGTACACAAGCAACATTCTTGAAGAGCATGTTTTACTTTACGATGGCTTCATTGGTTACGACAATTTCGTGCTAATGCATGATAATGCTCGTGCACATGCTACAAGAACAGTAACCCTGTATCTTGAAGTTATTGGACTTGGGCCACTAAACAGTCCTGACGTAAATCCCATAGAACATATTTGGACCATCCTAACAAGACATATACGAGCACCAAATCTAGCTCCTAACTCAATTGCAGAATTAAGAATTGCTGCACAAGAAGGATGGAATCGAATTCTACAAGAAACCATCAAAGACCTTCTGCGGAGTATGCCCTAGATCGTTAGAGCTAGGGGAGGAAACACTAAGTACTGAACTATTATTATGTTGCCCCAAAAAACTTCTAAAGGAGTTTCAATATCTGGATTATTTGGCAATCAATATACGTTGAATACTTCAGCAAATACCATTTAGTAATAAAAATTGCATGAAGATTCAGAGAAATAGAAATAAACATGAAATTAAGGTTGCAACCTCACAAATTGAACTACAATGAAAAAACTACTCAAACTCTCATAAACCTCAAAGTACTGAATTTATTCAGCCAACTGTAATTTATGTCTCTTCAATTTCTCACAATTATATTTCCAACAAAGTGAATGAGGCAATAAATTCTTCATTACTGCGACAGAATTTACTATGAATTTCCACAAGCGAAATCGTTCATCATCAAGCTTCTTTACTCCCAATTAACTCGTAAACTTCAGCTGTACGGACTCCGGAAATACAATAAATAAAAATCAGTATCATTGAACGCTGTGTCTGCGAAATTGCACGCAAGAGTGCTTCTTGACGATATTGATTTCAGCCACATGTCAGCACCAAGTTTCAACGTCATTTGAGCGTTCTGACTTGTGAACGAAATAAGGACAGTGTTCACAGCCAAGGAAACATCAGCGTTGTTGCCAGTGCGGAACTTTTGATTTCTCTGGTGAAATCCTTCGAAATATTTCATATGGAAGGGAATGTTTGAAAACAAGTTATGAATGAGTCAACATCAAAATTATTTCAAATTTTGAATTTTCAACGTCGTTCTTATAGATTGAACTTGTTCAATGGTCAATCTGAAACAGCTCAACATCTCTCTTCAATATGTCCTATAAGAAAACAGTTTTTCCCTCTCAATGGAAGAATGCTTCCAATCCAGCCTATACCCAAAAAAAGCAAAAAAATCTGTCAAACAACTGTAGAGTTGTATGAAAGCTATTTTCTGGGTTTTCTGGCCGTGGTCTGCAGGTTTGTATGCCTGACGTTTCGTCTACTGATGCGGTAGGCATTTTCAAAGGCGATGTGGTAACGGTCGCAATACTCGACCTGGTGCTCGGATTCATGTTCCTGTTATATCCAACGCATTAAAACTAGTATTTCAGTATTGGGCGTTTTTAATTGTATGTATTACCTGTTCGTGTACCTTCAATTAATAATCATTGTCTCTTCTTTTCTATTGAAATTATCCTAATGTTTTTAAATCTCTTTTGCCTCTTTATATTTTCTTGGATAGCAATTTTGGGTACTGTCTTTGGGTCTTCGAATGAGATAATGTGGGCACCTTCTTTTTTGTGAGCATGTTTGGCTACAGATTTGTCGGTTTGTCCGAGGCGACAGTTTATCTTGTACTTGTGATGCACTGTTTGGAACCTTTGGTGTAGTAATGAATATTACTCAAGTTTTTTCCCAACACCAAACCGTTTAGTGTTTGGAAAAAACTTCAGTTTATCTTGTGTTCGGAGTGACAGGTCCCTATACTTCGTTCCGTGGTTTCGATGTAGATCCACCCACACCTATACGGAATCCTGTATACCCCTGGCGTTGCTAGACGTTCTCTAGGATCCTTCGCTAATCTGAGACTTTACCTGATGGTTTTTGTTAAATATTGGTTCCACTAAGATTTTACCAATCCGGTCCATGACAATTTTGACATAGGGAAGGAACGCTTTTCCATTGACTGGCCTAGCTGTAGTTGCTTTGGTGTTGTCTCTCATGGATCGTATGGCCGGCTCAAATTCTCTTTTGCTATACACATTACGTTTGAATGCATTTTTCAGGTGATTTTATTCGTCAAGCAGACCCTCAAGTTTACAGATACGTCGTGCTTTCTCAACCAAAGTTCTAATTACCCCTCTCTTTTGTTGTGACTGGTGGTTCGAGTTGTTGTTCAGGTATCTGTCTCTGTGCGTTGATTTTCTGTACACTGGGTGTAACATCTTCACGTCTGTTCACAAGAGTATCTAAGAAGGTTAGAGTCCCTCGAATTTTTTGTTCCATTGTGAATTGAATTTTTGGGTTGAGCAAGTTAGGATGTAGTAGAAAATCAGTTAGCGTCTCTTCACCATCTTGCCATACCACGAACGTGTCACCAACATAACGTAGCCAGCAATATGGTTTCAGACCGCTTCCTCTGAGGCCTGATGTTCGGAATTTTCCATAAAAAAGTGTTCCACCGCCGGACTCAATGGACTGCCCATTGCAGTACCGTCTGTTTGTTCGTAAAACACTCCATCACACTGAAAATAGGTTGATGATAAGCAGTGTGCGAAGAGGGCGATTATATTTGCTGTGAATACTTCATTAATTAGTCGTATCGTTTCTTTGGTCGGCACCATCGTGAATGAGGCACAACGTCGAAACTCACTAGTATGTCTCCAGGACGTAGCTTCATGTCTCTAATCTTCTCGATAAATGCCCCGAGTCCTTGATGAATGATTATGTATTTCCTATATGACATATGAGGTTGCAGTAAGGTTATCACGTATTTGGCCAGTCCATAAGTTGGTGAACCTATCGTCTTTACAATAGGTCTCAGTGGCACATTTTCTTTAGGTATTTTCGGATATTTGTATGGCCTTTTTCGTGTTCTCTTCTAGACTGGATAAACGGATAAGAAGATTCGTTTTTCTCAACATACCAGAGGTCGGTCCCGACTGAGTTTTTTATATGTCTCTGGCTCGAGTAGGGTGGCCATTTTCTTCTTATAATCATTGGTGTTCATCACGACGGTGGCATTTCCTTTGTCAGCAGGCAGTTCTAAGATGTTCTCGTCTGCATTAATATTCTTCATTGCATCTCGTTCCCGTTATATTGACCTTGGGTGGTTTTGCGCGCATTAGAATTCTCGCCGCTTTTATGTAGATTTTCTCAGCAATGCAGTTGGGTAAAGTGCGGATACCTGATTCGTGGGGTACCTTGGCTGAAGCAATAGCGAAGTTTCCACCTTTGGCGAGTATACTGAACTCGTCTCCTGACAGTGTCTGGTCGGAAAGGTTGACCCCTGTAGAGTTGCTCACTACCTATGTAACCTTTCTCAGATATTTTCGATGTTTTTGCATGTGGCATGAGATTTGATCAAGAATGGTTCTCTCGCCATTGACTCTACCAACAACTTTGGTGTTCCAGAAAATCATACTGTTTCCATCCCTTTTCTATGATACATCCACGACCTATTAGAAAGCAACGGATTTGCTTTTTCCATTTAGGAGCCGACATCTTCATCGACAACAGGAATTTTTATATCTTGAAGATCCTGAATTTTAACTCAAAATGAAACTTACCAGATATAATGCAATGCTTGAAAAATAAATGTGGCAGAACTCGTTATAATAATATCAGGGTAAAAATTTTGCTAGCTGCCTCTATTATTGGTTTTTAACACGTCTTTGCACAATTGCGTTTCTGGACTAGCAAAAGCTTCTCAGAAATTTAAACATCAACAAGTTTTATTGGAATAGTTTTTCCTAGTACTTGAAAACCGTTTGACTTGTCCATTTCTTCCAAGAATCCGGAAGAAAGTCTCTCTTATAGACCCACTTTCCAATTTGGTTCAGTACCAACGATTTTGATGCCCCATAGTTGATTAAGAGCTGATCCGTGTCTGGTACACTCATCAGCCTTGCAGTATTGCTCACATATAGAAAGCTACCTTGCATTATCTGAGACTGCTGACTCTAGAACGAAGATAGTTTGGCGACTTGACCCTCTCCTATAAATATTTCCACGGCAACCGCTTGATTTCCTCGAGAGCGGTTTATGTCAGAAATATGGGACAAAATATAGATACACATGACTTCCAGAAACAGCTGAATGCACCTTGAACTATACTAATCCAGAACTTTTTGTGAAATACACTTTCCAAAACCATATGTACAGTATGATTTCAAAGGGTTATATTTTCAGGAGTGACCAAAGTTTTTGGCTTTCTACTACTCCATCTTGATACAGAAAAATGTAGGAATCTCACAAAGAAAGAAAGGAAGTAATCAATGTTGAAAGAAATAACTGTATACATAGATGTGTAGATCATGCAAGGAAGTAAGTTTCAGGCATAAATCTGGAATAAAAAGCCTTCCTAAAACAGTTATTTTCATATAAACATTGAATGACACGAAAGAAAAATTCTTTGTTTACTTCCTTTCTTTTACTGGAAGATTCCCACATATTTCTGTATCGAGGTGGAGTAGTAGAAAGCCAAAAACTTTTTTTCCCAAAAACATATGTACAGTATTTTATATCTATGGTGAATCGCCTCTCCTTCTTATATTGAGGATTTTTACGCCATGCGTGTGTATCCCAATAAATAACCAAGTTAATTGATTGAAATATCGTATATTAGAAACCTCTATTGACCGAATCGCACAAGAGGAAGAATTCGAATACAAAAATAGCATGTCTTAACTATGACCTTTGACTACTGGAAATATATACTTCCACTCTTCACCTCCTTTCGCCTGCTTGAACCTTGAAAAAGATTTCTGTAATTTATAATCCCATCAACCTTAGTCCCTAAAGCAATATGACACTGGATATTTCATCTGAAGGGTATGAATATGGAAATAGTATTCACAAATAGAAAATAAAATATGTTATTCTCTCTATATGTAATGTAAACCCATCAATAAAATATATACATATATAATAATTCATCATTTATGAATAGCATTTCAAACTTTCAACATAGAAATATGAAACATAATTTGAAACAAATAAGAGGCACCACCAGTCCGAGATGTATTGGAATTGCATGATTGAATGATTTTTCTGGGATGATCTAATTTCTTAAGCTATTTTAATGCGTGTCTTTATAGGAGTATATGCAAATCGTAACGTAACGTAACGTATCGAATGTTAAGCTCGTTGAGAGTTGAAGCATTTTGAGTTTTGGCCGTATCAACTAATGGAACCGAATGTTGATGAGCTCAGGCGACTTCTTCCTTGAGTTATTTCCAAAAAGGTCTCCTCGAAAAATGTACTCAAAATGTGTGACTGGTTACTACTCTATTTGAATTGTTTTCACTTTTAATTGAATAGAACTTGATGAAAAATCAAGCTTTGGCAATTTTTTTAAAAAAATCATGACAGTATTTAAATTTTGCAACACTTATGCTCAATTTTTTAAATTGTCATTGGACTTTTTTCCCAAATTAGGTTCCAAATAATAAAAACTGATCCGCAGGACATGTTGCTGTTACTAGAACATGTTGTCTAGTTACTTGAAAATGGCCTAATAAACCAAAACGTTAAAAAAATTGTGATAGAAGCAATATTTTCAAATGACATTTATTGAAATTCTGTGAAAAATGCCTTTTCTTTTTCGAAAATTGGTCTAATTCTAAGGACAAAACAAGTCCAATTTCATGTAAGTCCCATATGTTGCCGACTTCATTGGTGACACTGTATATACTGTAAGTATATAGTACTGTTACGTTACTGCATGACGTAACAGTACTTTGATGGAACAGCTAAAAACCCACAAATAGTATTTCGGCTTGTAACGCTTATGCGTGTCAAACTGACACGGATAAAAATGAAACAATAATCCGTTTTCAATAGTGTAACAAAACGTATTTGCGGTTACGTTACAGGTCATTGTTACAAATGGATATGCGCCTCAACTGTTACAAGCTAAACCACCATATGTCGATTTTTAGCCTTATTCGCGTTATGTACAGCGACAAGTTGAGACATACAAGTGTATAGATATTGCGTAACTTTGCCTGTTGAATGTGGTGTTGTATTGTAACCTAGTTCGGTAAGATTACGACCAAAAGTCAAAATGCATCAAATTGTTAAAAATGAATACGCGAAAATGGATATTTATTTTGTAACGTAACTCAAAGCTGGTTTTTCAATACATCATGTCGTGATATACACTTTATTTTATGTTCTGTAGTTCATTATTCGTGATCAAACTCAGAAGGACCAATTACAAAGAGGGAATATGAAGTAAGGAAAAATGTTTTGAGAACAATGTTAAGCGAACATTTGAAATAGTGGAAGACACTTCATTGAAAACTAAAAAAATCTGTTCTTAGTGCACAGTATCGCGAACTTTTACTTGCTTCTGTATCTACTATTTTAGGTAATAGTTATGGAAGTCAGAGGTTTGAAATCATTGTCTCCAAATCGTATTGTTTATTGTACGATGGAAGTTGAAAATGGAGAAAAGTTACAAACAGATCAAGCTGAAGCGTCAAAGCCAATGTGGGATACCCAAGGAGACTTTTGTACCACTCATCCCTTACCAATTGTGAAAGTCAAACTCTATACAGAGAATCCTGGAATGTTAGCACTGGAAGATAAAGAACTTGGGAAAGTAATACTGAAACCTACGCCTTTATCATCCAAGGTAAAACTATAAAAATGTAAAAGGTAACAAATACAAATTCACACACAACAATTCCTCAGTTCATAGAACTCACTGGTTTTGAGTTCCACAAACTCCTCAACCTTAAAGTTCATTATAGTATTAATGTCCATAATATACCAATATTCAACTTTAAATTCTGATCTGAAAATGATATATTCAGTCGTACGTGTGGTGATAAGACATATGTCTAATCAAAACACTCGCTATCCACCGTTCTCCTTTGGAAGAGGAATGACGTTTGGATCAAATCAAATATTTGCTATTTTCCGCCCTACTTGTTAAGAATATCGACCTAATGAGTAATCGTTTCGACCACAGTGTCGACTACAAACCAGAACAAAATCTATTCAAAACATTTTCATCGTTCTTCAGTTCTCGATCTGTTTTACCATGAGTTTTTCTGTTAACCAGCTGTACCTCCCCCTATGAACGATAACTCTCAAAAGTCGAAACTTGTGCGAGATGAGGATCAACCAGTTTTATCTTTTAATGTGCAATTCTTTGCACAAGTTCTGGGATTCTTCAATTTCTTCAAAAAATACCCAGCTCCATAATTCAGTAGCCTCAATACAGGTTTAATGGTACCCATATTATTCAGATAAAACCAAAGAGATCAACTTTTTGTTATAACATCAGCAACCATTTCATTCGTAGGACTTCAGTGTAAAAGATGATCAATCTGCTATCAAATCTCGGAAAAAGCTATCGTCTATCGATATGCTTGGTGTTATACCAGGTATTTTTATATTTGACTTTCTGCCTCTCTGTAACTTTTCTACAGTTTTTTCAAATAAATCTCACCGTAATTTGCAGCTTCTTTTCCAAAATTCACCACTGCTGGGCCTTATTCAATATGTACCAGTCATTAGAATATATTTCTGTATTCTCTATTTCTGTATTCAATAATACTGAAAATAACGCATTTCAAAAAATTTTTGAAGGACTGTATGGAGCAAACTTTCGGATTTATATTGTGTTCAAATATATTGAATTGCGTCTACTTCAAAAATACACTTGAACATTATTACTCCAAGGTATACAGTGGCAAAAACTGAAGAATTATGAAATATTTTGAGGTTCTTCACATTTTTGGAAAGATTTCGTTTGGAACTTCAAGTCAAAAACTCAGCTTACTATTGGACAAAATTCCCACAAAATCTATCTCTTTTCAATCTCGATACCCCAACCGTGATTGTGGGATTTGAATAACCTGTCGATACCTTAATCTTTATATGAATAGAATATATTAGCAACACCCTACATGCCAACACTGAAACACCATTTGTAGGAAGAAACTTAAACATTTAAATAAATTTAATATGTTTGAATTTGTCTAGGCACCTGAGTGGCACAAAATGACCGTACCTAAAAATCTTCCCGATCAGGATTTAAGAATAAAAATAGCTTGTAGAATGGATAAACCACTGAATATGAAACACTGTGGCTACTTGTACGCATTAGGAAAGAATGTATGGAAAAAATGGAAGAAACGGTATTATGTATTAGTCCAAGTGTCCCAATATACTTTCGCCATGTGTAGTTACAAGGAAAAGAAGTCCGAGCCATCGGAGATGATGCAATTGGATGGATATACTGTGGACTATATCGAAGCTTCAAGTGGTGAGAATTGCTCTTTTACAAAATATTTGGTCTAGTTTTTCTCTACTTTGGAGGGTCCAGTAAAACTTTATAACTTTCTGCCAGATATTGCAAAATATTGGTTTTGGTTCATCACTCCTCTTTTTCCTTATCTAAATTCATTATTAACCTCCCAGTTGATGGAAACTGTTCACTATCTAAAGACGAGCTGGTTTTTATTATTTATTAATGATATTTCCAAATAAAATATATCTATTGGGTTCACGTTGTTTGCAGATAATACTACTATGTCTTAGCATAGCCCAGATATTTATTTGCACAATAACATAAAGTAAAAATTTGAAATAGTTAGAACCTGGCGTGACTATTATCAATCATTTATTCCCAAAACTAGTTCAACTTCCAAGTGCAGGACTCTCAAACATAATTCTTCCTATTCGAACTTCTAAAGTCTTCATATCGATAGTAGTATGAACATGTCATTAGGATTATAACTGAAGAAGTAGGTTTTGCAGCCGCAAAATCTGCATGGCGTTAAAGGAATCTTACATAGGTTATGCAATTGCTTTTTGGGGTGAAGAAATGAAAGTTCAATGAACTTGGGGCTGTTTGTGCAAAATAGAGCCATTATGAATATTTGAAACGTTAATGTATCCTCACAGTAATCTCTATATTCATTTTGGAAACCTCGTGTTTGATCTCTCGCTTAATCTTCTCAATATCCACGTCTTGCGTTACCTATACCCAAAAATAGTTTGGTGAAAAACTGCTTTATATATAATGGGTTGAAAATAAACATATTGAACAAACGAAATCGTCCAAACTTTTTTTTCTAAAAATTCACATTGAAACAAGAAAAAGTTAAATTTTAAAATTTTACTTGGAATTTGTTGAAAAATATTCTACAGTTTGTAACTTTACGAAACCTTTAGCTTGCAAAATAACACAAACAAATTGTATCTAATAGGCCATTATTTTTTTAAATAGGCCTTCTGAGGTACTAGAGTGGAAATTGTCAGAGATGATAATAACACAACTCTTCAACTGAATTATCACTAAACTTCAAAATTTCAATTTTAGTTTCAGTAAAAAATAACACAATGCATACAAATTCAGTTTGATCATAATAATTGTTTTTCGCTTTCCTTTAATTTTCATCGCACCCGTGATTCGGAAGCTGTCTTTTTTCAATAACTCAAGAATTGAGAAATGATAATGATAATGTTTTATAGGAACGATGTCATATTTTTGACAGTTACTAAAAGAATGACCCACTTTTCTAAAGACAGCGAGGGTTTCAACCACCCTGTGTAACTGAAAGGTGAAACTAGATAGAACCTCTGGTTCAGAATGAATACAAATCAATCACTGCTTTCACACCAGAACTCCAACACTTTTCTCGACGCGTTTCTCTCCAACCAAGTTGCCTTCATCGGGAGATGAACTAGATTCATTTCAGAGCTAGACATAGACCCAATCTATTCCATCTCTTGATGACACCAACTGGGTTAGTGAAAAAGGCGTCAAAAAGAGTGTTGCAGATCTGGTGTAGGAGCTAGGACTGTTTTGAAATTTGTATAACATTTTCAAGACATTCTTTTTTCCAATAACTCGTCTGAGAGCTTTTTCAATGCCAAATGCTATCAATTTTTACGAAAAATTTTCCTATCTAAAAAAAATTAATGTGGACGTTTTACTGTATGATCATTTCTTCCATAGCTTAGACGAATATTTAGGACTGAATATTTTGATTGAACATTTTGTGCAAATGTATCACTATTGGGGCTCAATTATGTTGGGTTTTGTAATAATATATGTCTTGTCTTGTTAAGTTCAAGGGTAGAATTGTATCTCTATTTAGCTTTGAAAAGAGCTTTCTCATAGTCAAATGCTCATGCAATATGAAGCTAATACGTTTTTTTTGATATCTTTATAATATAAGCTATCACGCAACTTCACTTTTCGATCATTCAAAACGATTTTAAAGATATTTTTTCATGTTTTCTGATGGTACTGCCTTGTTTGGACGTCCACTGCCATCTGCATCTTCGGTGTCTCTACGACTACGTTTGAAGTCAGCAGCAACGTTTAATTTTCGTTTTTGATAGAGCGGAGTCCTTTTCAAGCCATTGCTCTGCTTAAATGGTATTTTTCCCATCAAGAAGCCGTGTAAAATTAAAACACGAAATTGTTTTTGATCCATTGTTTTGAAAATAATCACTCTTGACAAAATAACTCACAAACTTATGAGTGGAATATCATGAAATTTCAACAGATTTTTTTGAAGATTAATACTAACTGAAAAGCGGTGAATGCAATACGACTTGCTCTATCTATGTGTTGGTCTCGAGACTTTTCAGTTCAGGTAGTAGTATAAAACAAAGTCGCTTCCCGCTGTCTGCCCCTATGTATGCTTAGATCTTTAAAAATAGGCAACGGATTTTGAATCGGATTTTTTCAATAGATAGAGTGATTCAAGAGGGAGGTTTATATGTATATAACAAGCATTACATAGTAGAGAAACACTGATAATTTTAGAGGTTTCTAATTTGATGTCGTTTATAAACACACGTCTACATTGCAAACGCTGCGCTGGCTGAACCCTACGTGATAGATCAAAATAATGTACACCTTAAAAAGGTCTACAAAAAAGTCGGCGATGGTATATGTTCATCTCTTGGAATAACCCACGATAACAATTTTTCATCCTTGAGAAATAATGGCTTATTTACGAAGCGATTTTAAGCAATGCAGCATTAATCTTTATCCTGTATATTGGCCAAACAGGGAGAACATTTTCCCAAAGAATTAAAGTTCATAGAAGTAGTTTTGTAAATACAAAGACCAATTCCACATTTGCAAACCACCTTTCAGCCGAAGGACATGAGTTTATTCATGAATACAATGTGTTACATTTAGAAGAGAAAAGTTTGAAACACAATCTTCTAGAATGTTTAGAAACCAATAGATTCAAATTGTAGAATCAGTTATATTAAGTATTGAATATGTAGAATTAGTTAGTAAAGACACGTCCGAAGGAGCCATTGAATGGCGAAACACGTGTAGGAACGCTACTCGGCATAATATATGAAAAATATTGATATAAACTTTCACTTATATGAAACACTACTTCAAAATTTCGGAACAGGCCACTTGTATTATCACTTCACAGCATCGTTTTGGATAATATTACAAGATGAAATACTCATTTCACTTATGTCATTACGACTTCATGTCACTAGCAGAGTGTTCAATAATGGAAAAGAAGAAGGCAAAAAAAATTCTACAAAAAAACTAATCTCTAAATATCCCTCTTTCAATTTTATTGTTTTATTATCGTTCATAAATTGATTACTCTGAAACCTAGCATAAAATGAGTTAGAGTTTTGCTGGACCTTGCATCTTCCACATTCCCACCCAATAAATTAATACTATTTTTTCTATTTTGCAGCCAACTTGATGGTTGGAATGGGTAAGCGTAGGTTCACTTCGTTTTAATGATCGGCTATGCATACTGTACGTTATAAAATATTTTTTCCAGACCTGGAGGGTGGAAGGTATTTTTTTAATGCCGTCAAAGAAGGAGACAGCATCATTTATGCTAGCGATGATGAGAACGAGTGTCATCTGTGGGTTATGGCCATGTACAGGGCGACAGGCCAGTCTCATAAACCTACACCCCCACTTACTCTGCAAGATAAAAATTCCACCATATCCAAAATTCAAGGAGGTGAGTCGTCTCGATTAATAGGTGATGTTGATTGTGGCTGGTAAATGCTTGGCTAGCCATTTCGAAGATAGATAGATCTACAAAGATGAAAGTTACTACTTTCATCATTTTTGGATTCTCGCGAATGACTGATTCGATATCCTGATAGACCAAGTGATGAAAATAAATTGTATGATACAGAAAGCCTCATTTATTTTTTTATGGAGAATTTAAAATCTTCTTAACTCACGACTCTACCACAACATGATATGAACTTGGAAGCTATAACGTTTTCGATATAATCAGTTGTGGTCATCTTCACTAATATTGCTGAAGTTGGAGACATTTCCGGAAATGCCGAAAAAATCATACTACATTGTAGCCACATTGAAACAAATGAATTTTGTTTCCTACCCAGAATCAGAAATAGAAATCATACTCTGATGTGGCCAATTAGTAAAACGAGCTAGCAAGCAGATACTGGGTTGAGATATCACCCGTTGTTTTCAATTAATTTATAAGAACAGATTTTCAGATGCCGACAGAGCAAGAAAACATGGAATGGAAGATTTCATTTCGGCTGATCCCTGCCAATTTGACCACGCTTCTTTATTTAGGCTGTTGCAAAATCTCACACTGGAATATAGGCTCAATGATCCCTATTGTTCTTTGGTGAGTAAGAGTATCAATTATGACTTCAATTCGAATAATAATTTAAAGCGATCTTCCTTTAAAACTTTAGGGAGTTTTCCCATTCAACTTGGTTATTATATAAACTCAATGGGAATCAACGTCAATTTCCACTTTCAGCAAGCACTAGTTTGATTTCAAATTACTTATTCAAAACCTCCAAATCAGAAGGGAACAATTTGAAATTTCTACATCGAGATTTTTGAGTGAAACTTACATGAAATTTTTCACTGGAGTAATGTTTTGGTGCTAAAACATATCGTCATTTTTTTTTTGAAATGCTGCGAACTGAAATGGGAAACTTAAAAATAGTCTTTCTCCATCGATTTGAAAAAAAAATGTTGAAACAAGCCCTGTTGTCAACCAATTATTTCCAGAAGAAATATGTTGTATTGAATATCCAAAGAAAATTAAGTAAGCCAACTTTGGAGTCAATAAGTTTTTATGAGTTCGTTTAAGCACATCGACTTTAATTTCAAGAATTACAGTTGACAGTACTAGAGAGATAGCGATAGAAATTTGGCTGATATTTGTTCTACTTAATGTTCATACAGTGCAAATCAAAAAATATGATAGTACTTGATAAAACCACAGTATAACGTATTCAAAAAACACATTTTAATATGAGATTTTCACTTGGAAGTTAACGAAACCGCGACATGTGTTTCGCGCGAAGATGCTATCGTATAGCGAAACACGTGTCGCCGTTTTGTAAACTTTCAAGAACTATTACACATCCAAATTTGGGATCAATGTATTTTTAAACCATTCATCGAAAATATTAGCTTCCATGGTCTTATGATAGTCAACATTGCAGTCATCAAGTTTTTTTCCATATAATTTCAAATAAATCGGAACCAATCCTTTACTTCCTCCGCAATGCGGAATGATTATTCGCGATTTTTTGTTTCCAGGCATGTTAGGCGTACACATTCTCGAACCATCAGTCTACCCTTTCGTAACTGTGTCGTGAGTGTCATACCAAGATTCGTCCAAATAGAAAATTTGCCGTTGTTGCTGTCAATATTTAGTTATTTGTTCTAAGTATTTGTTACGCAATTCCACTGTTCTTCCGCTTTCCATAACTGCTTGACGTTTTTTTATTATTTTAAATCTAAATCCTAGTTTCATCATCCAATTCTGAAGAGTTTTGTCACAGCAGCTCACGTTATGGCCGGAAGTATTCAATTTCTTCCTTATGATTTCAGTTGTAGAAGTCTCATTGCTTTTGTAACAGTCGTAAATTTTTTTCATGATTTTATTAGATGAACATCCAAAGGTTTTGGTAATCCTGTATCACATCACGTCTTGCGTTCATAAGGTTTGATTATGACTATTTTACGTACAGTTGAGAAAAGAATTTCAGTCAAATCTGGTGTTGCTTGTTATAGTTTGTTTTCCCCGAAACCAAACTTGAGATGTAGATTTTTATATACATTGAAACATACTCTCTGTGTTTCAAAATTCAAATGCATCCGAATCTTATTCACTGGTATTTCTTTTTCGCATTGTTCACCATCGCTATTGGAATCACTACACTGGAAAAAGTATGGGTTGTTATCACACTTACTATTAGTACTTGTCCAAGGACGCCACATTTCAAACAGATACCAAAAATTTTAGGTAATAACAGCACCAATATCACATTTCGACACTCAAATTGCGGCGATAACCATCTCCGCATTCCCCGATTTCTATTCGTCACCTTGAAATAACTTCAAATTTAAATTTATGACCCTCCAGCCAATCATAAAACTTGGTTGATAATAATTATCCAATACGAACCGCCAATTCTTCAGCCCACGTGGACTAGTTCGCTGCAAGTTCATTTCTATGTATTGGTATTTTTTGGCCTTTGAGGGTGCCGCTTACTTTAAGAGTTCAGAATATCGTTTACTTCGACTATACTCATTATTCAGTTATATAATATATTCCATTGCTTGATAGGTGAAATGGAAATTTCTGGCGTGGAATTATTCTAATTTTCTTTCACACTAGAAATAGAACTGTGTCTCGTGACGTACGTTTCTCAAACCGATATAGCGTGATCAGTTACCATTATTGTGAAATAAGTTTGAGTCTTCTCTTGATGATGCTAACTTTGTGAGCGAAACGCGCATCTACCCCATGCCGAAAAATTCACTGATTTTATTTTTGCAGGGTTGGTTCAGTCCAGGACAAGTATTCGTTTTGGACGAGTACTGTGCAAGATATGGCGTGAGAGGATGTTACAGACATTTATGTTATTTATCGGACCTTTTAGATAGGGCAGAGAAGAATTTAATGATAGATCCTACGTTAATTCACTATAGTTTTGCGTTTTGCGCTAGTCATGTACATGGAAACAGGTTTGTAGATAATGATAAGGATGAAATTAAGCCGATTAATTGATTACAACAGTAATAACTTTAGACCTGATGGAGTTGGAAGTGTAACCCACGAAGAAAAGGAAAAGTTCCAAGACGTGAAAGAGCGATTGCGAGTATTATTAGAAAATCAAATAACTAATTTCAGGTAAGAAGTTACTTATCGAAGAAGGGTTTATAGATTGACACAGCAAACAAATATACAACCATATGAAAACACATGGATTAGTACTCACCGAAGGCTTTGGTCACGCTGCATCATTGGTAATATCGACAATAGAAACATATTTTCTGTTTTCCACACATTCAACGAATCAGACTTCCATTTGCTTTCTAGCAGTAGTTATTGCACCTATCACACCATCACATAATAGACCGAAAAACGAATGGTAAAGAGTTTTTTAATTTCTCTTGAAACCAATTTTGACCATACAGTACTCAGAATTAAGTATTACCACGCAATAGAATTATATGTTTTTTGTTTCGATAAATTGTAAAACTGAATGGAAAGTGTGAGATGAAGTAAACGGTTTTCGGTCTAATCTATGATCTTTTATTTAAAACTTTCACAAGATTTATTTCGGAAGAGTACTGGCAAGAGTTTACTATCATGTGATATGATTGTAACATTTCAATCCTTTGAACACGCGACAGTGCTGAATAGTAGTGAGCTATAATATGTCCGGTTATACAAATTCATTCATTCTTTTCTGCGTGTAAATGCCATATAATGGGGGAGTCCAAGCGGGGATTTCAGGATTTACTAAAGCGCGGCAGATTAATTTACAGGGAATACCTTGTACCCGGTTAAGTACCTCCACCAAATATGAGCCCCATATATAAGGCCGTCTGTGAAGGATAAAGGATCAGATAAGTAAAAAAAAAATTGATCATCAGAAATTCTCGAGCGCATCAGATTAAGGTAGGGTGAGTTAATTACCTGCTGAAAAGTGTATATTTCAGTAATCTGACAATTTCAGAGTGACGTAAAGAAAGGGGGTGGCAGCAAAGTTGTAAAAAAATAACGTCATTTCGACATTCTCGAGCGTAGCTAATTTTTTTTTATTTTGAAGGAAATAATTCAAGGATANTGTCAATATCTTCAACTACTACAAAATGGCGGAACTTTTAATAATTGCCTGAATACATTGACATTTAACTACATAATATGAGGTAATAATCTTGAGGTCAGTTCAGAAGATGCTCGAAATAGTTGCCTTGAACTTCTTGACATATGAATAGCCCATCTGATATTTCACGCCGAACATTTTCGAACACAGTAACGTCAATATCTCTACAAATATTTATTATATTCTGCCGTATATCCAATACTGAAGCAGGTTCAGTTTCGTACACCTTTTGCTTCAAAAAGCTCCATAAGAAAGTCCAAAGGTATCAAATCTGGCGAGCGGGCTGGCCATTCTATAGGACCTCAACTGTTAATCCAACGACCGGGAAAAGTAGTATCCAAATAGTTTCTCAATTGTCTGGAGTAATGTGGTGGTGCTCCATCTTGTTGGTATACAATATCCAAATCGAATTCATTAGGATTCGCTTCGACGATTTCAGTGATGAGAGGCTCAACAGTAGTTTCCAGCATATTCAAATACAGTTTTCCTGTTAAATTTTTATCAATAAATAAAGGTCCTACAATATGGTTTCCTAATATTTCTTCCCAAACGTAATTTTTTTCTGGATATTGGGTATGCAATTTTGTCTGTGAACATTGTCGTTTGAAAAAAAATGTACATTCGTCACTAAAACAAATATTGTGGAGATCGATAGGATGCCTTGCAATAGTTTCCGTCATCTTCAGTTAATTGGTGTATCATTTCAATTTTGTATGGGTGATACCTATTCCTCTTCAAAAGTCTCCACACAGTAGAAGGATACACCTCACAAAAATTCGCAACGGAATAAGTAGACTGTTCACGATTTACTACCATCTCACCAATTATTTGCACTTGCTGTTCTTCCGGAATGGACGGAAGACCTGGGGGCTTTTTGTTATGTACAGTACCGGTAGTTGTGAATTTGGATACAAGTTCCCTCAAATATTTTCTACAGATAGGACGATTCGGAAAACGTTCATTGAAAATTGCTTCGGTCTCGTGAAAGTTACGCGTCGCACCGTCGCAATGGACGAGAATTGACCATTTTAGAAATTGTTGACGTGGTACCTTTCTACTATAGGAAAATCGAAAACTAAATGAGAATATTCTAACTGAACAATGATGTTCATTGTCGTTTTTATAAACGAAAAATAATAAACCTTATCGGGTTGTTGGAATTGCCATGTGGCAGATAAAAAGGAATATTTCTAGAAATATCGATTTTTAATGTGTTTGTCTTCAGGAAATTATTGAATGTTCCGCCATTTTGTAGTAGGTGAAGATATATACTTCATATTCTGGGGTTGTGAAGTATTCTTCAGGAGCTTCAAGATGATGTGTTACAAAACCCCGCTTTCCATTTAATTTTTTTCCAGATAGCGCCCATTCCCCATCTGTCAATTTTACTTCAAAATGAAATATTCATGCATTAATTTCATTATCCCAAATTTCCATTTTTTGAGTTGACCCGTTCAAAAAATTAAAGGGGGGGGACATTAAAGAAATGTACTGAATGTGCTGGACTGTAGTAAACAATGCCAATACGCTCTCCGGAACATAAATACAATGAACAACTTAAAAAAATTATAAATGCAATTCAATACAATACATATAGAAAACTAAACAGCACTGAAATATTCTGCGAAATAATATGACGGAACCTGTTATGATATATTTCAAAAATGGCTTGAAAAAGATGCGAAGGACTATCGATCTTGAACATGTAAGCAGCGATATAAGTAACTCTCACGAAAATTACAAATTTGTTAGACAACAAAAAAGAGAGATACTTAGAGATTAATCAATCGCAAGAGAAATAAAAGGAACAATGGAATTGTGGCATAGAACGCAGCTCCTGGAGAGTTCAATAATTATTTTTGTAGGGTGGTAGTAGATATAATCGTAAAGATATGAACTAATCCGGGCAATCGATTATCTGGGGAAAAAATACCGCAACTACCAAACTTCCTGAAAGAACGTTTCCTGCAAGTGGCTGTCGATGGATATTTTTCGAATACTTTTACCATCCCTGGTGTTCCCCAGGGATCCATCTTGTCTCCAATCCTCTTTTTATTGTATATCAACGACTTATTGAAAGAAACCAACAGTCCAATATATTGCTTTGCTGACGACAGCACACTTGTCTGGTCATTCCCTTTAGATTCCAAGACATCGGCTGAGGATGCACATCTTCACCGACAGCGGGAGGGTGCATGTCTTAATGTGGATCTAGAGGAGATTTCGAATTGGGGTGAAAGTAACCAAATTCAATTCAATGCTACCAAATCCCAGGCATCGGTTTTCTCTAAAAAGATAAATGTCTCCAAACCGGATATAAAAATGTCAGGACAGACAATTCCGCTTTCTGTTTCCATAAGTTTGTTGAGGGTTGAAATGGACATCATTATTTTTGACACAATCATGTCGCGGGAATTACAAAGACTGTTTCTCAAACACTGTTCCGAACCAGAACACTGTACACATATCAGCAACTTTTGATGCTTTATAAAGCTCAGATCAGACCTTCTTTGGAGTATTGTTCTCATGTATGGAGCTCGGCCCCCAAACATACCCTGAAGTTGCTGGATTCCATCCAGGAAAGAGCCATCCGCCTAATTGGAGACGCGAACCTCAGGTGCAACCTTGATAGTCTGGAACATCGAAGAAAGGTTCGAAATTTGTTTGTTTTTTATAAATACTCTCATAAATAGTTTCATGTGACTTGAGCACATTTGATTCCACCAAGAGCGGTCTGCTCAAAAACTCTTTCATCTGGAAAACTGCGTTTATGTGGAATAAACTGAAAAAAATGAAAAATTGAGCAATTATCATTTATAATTGTTCTTTAATTTTCAAAATGAAATTATCACCACATGAAATTCTCACAATAAAATAATTATTAAAGTATACAAATGAGGGAGTCAAACGACTGAGTGCTTGCGTTCAAGAGAGGGGGAAATAGTTTTGAAAAGTCATATAAGTTGAACAGAATATTCCAAAAGAACATCGCAATATACAAAACTGAAGAGAAGTTTCCAGTTTGACCAGAAGTTGTTGAAAATTCCAAATACGAGCATTCATACTGTATCGAAAATACTATCCAAAACTAGTCACGAACTCTTACGAGATGAAGTGATGGTACAACTTGAACCTATCCGGAACTATATCTATGACTCTCATATTACACATATTATTATAACAGTCGAACGGTTGAATGTTTTTGTAAAAAGCTTTTTGAATTGAAAATATGTCATATGAAATTGAAGCACACTTTCGCACATACACAATTGATAGAAATCATTTTGATAGTTTAACCTCAAATTTGATAAAGTCTTCAATGAATTTTACAATATTGCCATACAATACTTGAACTTTTTCTGCAACCGTATGATTTATATGAATCGTTCAATATAAGTATAGTAAAAGATTTGACATACCACTTGGCAAGGAGTATAATGAATTTTGATAAATTTCTGTTACTATAAAGTATACAGGGTCACGTCACACGTCGAATTTTTTCTCGTGAAGAGGACAAAATTTGATATGAAAGTCATTGCAAAACCTTCAACCAGGGTTGCCATTCTCATTAAATGTAATTGACTCGTGTGATATCTCAGTGAAAAGGGCTTTCAACTCTCTTTTGAAAATCGGTCCATTCATTCAGAAAAGATGGAGTTTTCAAATACTAATAATACCTTTTTCAAAAACTGCAAAAGTTGAATAAATTTTGTATACTATTTAATTGACTATCATAATGATCTGAATGAATTCCTGCGGAATAAATTGCAGTTTTTGCTGTCAATAAGTATCGAGTTTTTCCTTGCCGAAAGATTCATATAAACATAATTTTCCTTTTGAATTGTAGTGGAATAGAATGGTCGAGCTATTCAAACAACGGCATCCTGAGATATTTTCTGGAAAAATTGTTTGCAAACTGGTGACAAAAATTCGTGTAATTGGATCGGTCTGAAATTAATAAAGCTAGGCAAAGGTTGCACTTTCTTTTTGAATGGTGTTGTTGATTGCTCAATTATCGTTAATGAGGCAATAGCAATTCCAGAATTGCAATACACACAAACTTTGAATGTGTGGATTAGTATTTTTGTAAATATCTTTTTCTGGAAATGTACCTGGTGATTTATGCTCAGATTTATGCTCTTACTAACATAAGAGAAAGTTATCCAGCATGCATTAAAAAAGAAATGATGTTTCAACAAAACGTTGCTCTTGTGCATCAAAGCCGTAATTATTCAAACAGCACATTTTCATGTCGCTGAATAGGATGAATGTGCAATTGAGTCATTCCTTGGTCATTCTACTTGAGTTCTGTAGATTTTTTGTGAGACACATGAAAAACGAAGTGGATCGCACTCTACCTGACTAATTGGGAAGACCTGCGAGGAGGAATCATTAATAAATGTCGCGAAGTAATACCACAAGCGCTCCAAAATGTACGACAACGGTTCGAAGATAACCTGTATTACTGTAATTGGCGGACAACATTTCCAGCATTCGCTTGATTCGGCTTTTTCAAAGCTCCATATCTTTTGCGACAGATCTAAAGCCCTTCTCAGTGAAATATTATCTGACTGAAACGTTCAACCTACGCTTAGGCAGTTAAAACCGGCTCCTCCCACAAAGAAACTCTAAAGAAAATTTTTGAAGTTCTTTCTCTGGCATTTCCTTCGATATATTTCAATCTCATACTGAACAGTATAATTAAACCACTTATTCATTTTAGTGTATATTTTTTAGTAAATGATATTTGTATCATTTGCGTATTAACTTTTCATTAGGAAAATGTGCTTCACCTTGATCAATGAAATATATTCTTGTAACAGAAAGTGATCCGAAAAATTCAAAATTCGTTTCACTCCATTTCGCCATTTCTCCCACCCCTACCCATTGTGAAATGTACTTATTGTTATGTGTTATTCTGTATGTATATGTAGCAACTGCGCAAGGCAGACCGGCAACCGTCAAGTCAAGCAGCCTCGGCGGGCGCAAATTCAAATTCTAGTTCGCCCGCTCCAGGCACCCCTGGCGGCCGTGACGCCAAGCACCAATCTGTGTCTCGCTATTGCATGCCTCAGCATGCCACTTACACCCCACCAGATCCTACGGCACGTACATCTTCTCTCTCTCTTTACTTCAGTCTTTAGCTCTAAATACAATTTAACCAAGGACTCTCAACAAAATTCAGCAAATATCTGAGAAGAGTGAGGTTAAGTGAAAGAAAGCATTTGTTCGGCTCAGAAATGATCTAGAACAAGAACCTTTTGATAGATACATGTATGTATCCTAAGTCTTAATGTGTACTCGATTTGTTAATATCAGTGAAAAATATTATTGTTGATACTTTTATAATTATATAATGAGAAAATTCATTCGTTAAAAAAAAAGGAATGATATCCAAAATCTTTTAGTAATTCTGTTGATATAGTTACGTACTTATATCTAAATATAAGTAGGCAAATAATACAATATTTGGTAAAACAATGAAGACATGGAAATAAATATTGGGTGGGCTGAGAAGTTCTCAGGCTAACACACAGATGGCACTACTAGTGTTGAATCTATATTATTTTTAGTTAACCATAACCTTCAAAAAATACGTGTAATAATTCCACAGATGTCGGACTATCAGTTTGTGGGATAGAACATTTTGAGTGAAGCAACTTATGTTAGTAAGAAGAAAATGGATATAAAGGAATTTCGTGTTTGATAAAGCATTGCTATTGACAAGAAAATACTGTTGATAAACATTATTTGGATTCTGCACCTGGAAAATCAACCGTTGAGAAGTAGTTTGCTAAGCTTAAATGAGATGAAATGAGCACCGAGGACGATTTACGTAATTGACGCCCCAAAGAGGCTGTTACCGACAAATATATTAAAAAATCTACAAAATAATTTTAGATGACCGCGAAGTGAAGTTGATCGAGAAAGCTGAGGTTCTAAGGGTATCAAAAGAACGTGTTGGACATATCGTGCATGAATATTTGGGTACGCCGCGCGAGCTCACAATCGACCAAAAACAACAATTCTGAGCAGTGTTTGGAGCTGTTCCATCATAAACAACCCGAATTTATGGGTCGATATGTAGCAATGGATGAAACATGGCACCACCATTTCACACCAGAATCAAAAAGATCGTCATCTGAGTGGACTGTGAGTGGTGAACCGACTCCAAAGCGTGTAAAGACGCAACAGTTGGCTGGTTATGATATCAGTTTTTTGGGATGCGCATGGTATAATACTCATCGACTATCTTGAAAAGATAAAACCATCAACAGCGGCTATTATATGGGGGTTGAAAGATGAAATCGGCCCAATTTTAAGAAAACGAATGTGCTGTTTCATTAAGACAATGCACCGTGTCAAAAATGAATGAATACGATGGCAAAATTGCATGAATTGGGCTTAGAATTTCTTCCGCATCCACCGTTTTCTTCAGATCTGCTCCCCAGCGACTTTTTTATTTTCTCAGACCCGAAAAGAATGCTTATTGGAAAAAATTTAGCACCGATGAAGAGGTAATCTTCGAAACTGAAGCCTATTTTGAGACTAAATACAAATTGTACTATAAAAATGGTATCGAAAAATTGTATGATCGCTATAATCGTTATGTCGCCCTAGAAGGCCAACTATATTGAATAATAAAATCAAATTTTATCGTTATCCTACGAGCTTTTCAACCCAACTGTTATAATAATGTAATTCATACGAAATAAATAAACTTCAAGACTCAGATTTTCGTGGAAATATGTACATACAAACCCCACTTTAAATGAATCTTTTGATGATACAATACATATTGAAATGTATAAAATCCCTTGAAACAATGGGATATATATTATAGAATAATAAGTCATGTTCAGAGTTCTTGAGTGGAAACTTTAATCGCGTCCATTCCATATTATTTGATACAGGGCAAATATTCAATTAAGTTAAATGTCTTACCCGTTATCAATTTTTCTACTATTGCTGACATCGTGACAAGGTTATGATAGTTTGTGACTTTTATGGAATGGACTAAATAAACATTTGAAGACTACACTTATATTAGACAATTTCAACTCTTAATGTCAACAAAACTCCATCATCAAACATACATGCAACATTGCAATCCGCCGAGACATTCAAAATGCATTATGTCAAATGAATTGGATAAATTTGAAAATATAAAAATGTCTCAAATTTAAAAAAATAACGGATATGAATTTCTGATTTGCTAGAATGAATTATTATGTAATGAGTTACAATAACACGTCATAGAATATCAAGTTATTTGATATAACCGTATGAATAACACTGAATTCACTAAAATATTTTCATGATCGATCTAAATCATTTTGATATAATGTATTCGTATAATCGATTATAGTGAAATGATAAAACACATGTGTCTAATATATTTGATGTTCCTTTATTCACAGTTTTATATTTACTTCCATTTTTCTTGTTCTTGTAACAATCATTTCCATACTCCAACTAACAATATATCAGCTCATTATCAGTTTTTCATGCGTGAATTTTGAATTTTCATAAAAACTTAAATAAAATATATAACTGAAGTAAATATATCCTGTTTACTATGCTATTTTTAGTATGACAGTCTCGATTCGATATTTCTCTTAATGGTCATACCGAAAATATGATCAACAATTTTTCGTGGTAATAATCGAAAAAAGGTTGACCACAAAAAACCAGGTGCCGACTGATAATCCCAGTTCGTCACTATACAGGCTACATTTATTATATAATCAATAAATATTTACTTAGTGTACTACATGGGCTGAAAAGTTTCGGAACTAACACATATATGGCACTAGTCTTATTGCATTTACCATTAACCTTCAGAAGATAGCTGTTGAAATTTTATAATATTCTACTCATAAGTTCGTGAGTTATTGTGCTAAGAGTGACACTACTTTTGTTGTTTTCAAAACAATTTCGTGTTTTAATTTCACACTGCTTTTTGATGGGAAAAAATACCGTTCAAGCCAAGCAATGGCTTGAGAAGTGTTGAGGACTCCGCTCCATCAGAAACAACAACTAAATGTTGGTTTGCTGACTTCAAACGTGGTCGTAGGAACACCGATGGTGCAGAATGCAGTAGATGTCCAAATGAGGCAGTAGTACCAACAGAAAACGTATACAAAATCCACAAAATCGTTTTGACTGATCGAAATGTGAAGTTGCGTGAGTTACCTGACTTTATAAAGATATAAAAAGAACGTGTTGGCTTTATATTGCATAAGCATGAAACATGGATCCATCACTTCACTCCGGAATCAAAACGTTCGTCATCTGAGTGAAGAGCAACTGATGACCCCCGAAAGCACAACAATCGGCTGAAAAGGTTATGGCCTCGGTATTCTGGGATGTGCGTGGTATAATATTCATCGACTATCTTGAGATGGGAAATATCATCAACAGTGAATATTATATAGCATTATTGAAGCATTCGAATGTCAAAATTGTAAACAAACGACCGCATATTGTGAAGAATTTTTTTTTCATCAAGACAACGCATCGTGTCACTAGTCAATCAAAACAAAAAACCTAGGTTTCTTTCTTAGGCCCGGGACTTTTCAGCCCATGTGTTATATAATTTATTCAGTTAAAGAACTTACTTGAACTTAGCTCTTTCAATCAATGTAGTATGTGTTTACCTATGTGAATTTTGCCAAGTGACATAACTTCGAAGGATCATGTCTGGTCGTTAGAAAGGCTCAATATGAATCAAAATATATTTTAAATATCATCATCCGAATAAACTATCACCTATCCGCGATATTAATTTAATGTCGACATATTGGAATCAATTTTTGCCTTCACACCCTCTGTGATCACCACTCAACAGGTCTAATGAAAATGGTAGAGCGCTTTGACGAAAAGACATGTTATTCCTCTTGGTTGTCGCATACCTCAGTCTGCGCCTGATATTTGCATGTGAGATTTAGATGTCCCAAATGGTGACAGTAGATTTATATATTTTGAAAGGGTTTCTGATGTTCAATTTTGCACGTACAGGCCTTTGCGTGGTTTAGCGACTTATTGGTTGAACACGCTGAAATATTTTGGTCTTTGTTTGCTGTGGATATGGACAGAGTATTGGCAGAGCAGCCGGCTGATACGTGGGACTCTTTTCCATTATTTCAAATCCTCAACGACTATCTCAGGGCCGATGGTGAGTTCAATAAAACGAACACCCATTGAACAGTAACAGGATAGTGGTCCCTCACATCCATTTCACTTTTCAGATAATCTGAAAAACGGACGGTTTCATCAACATCTACGGGATACTTTCGCACCGCTAGTAGTTAGATATGTTGACCTTATGGAGTCGTCCATCGCTCAGTCTATACATAAAGGTTTCGAGAAAGAGAGATGGGAAATTAAAGGGTGAGTGGAGGCTGCCAGGACAATAGCTTGAGAACAAACATTATTTTTTGTTATAAATTTCCAGAATGGGCTGTGCAACATCTGAAGATTTGTTTTGGAAGTTGGATGCTCTCCAATCTTTCATAAGAGATTTGCATTGGCCAGATGCAGAATTTAGGCAACATTTAGAACAACGTTTGAAGCTAATGGCTTGCGATATGATGGAGTCTTGCATACAAAGAACAGAAACTGCATTCCAACAATGGTTGAAGAAGTCCGTTACTTTCATTTCGACTGATTACATTATACCATCTGAAATGTGTGCCATGGTGAATGTAATACTAGATGCAAAAAATCAGTCTCTGAAATTATGTGCCGTGGATGGAATCGATTTAGTAAGTGATGAATTTTTTCGACATCATTAACTATATATTCGAAATAACATACTTTTTAGCACCAATACCACACCAAAATAGACGACATGATTGAAAAAACGAACGCTAATATGGTCCAAGGTTTGATAAGCAAAATGATGTCAGTTCTGGAAGCCACTTTGTCGAAGTTATCGAGATATGATGAAGGAAGTCTTATTGGTTCAATCCTAAGTTTCACGGTACATTTCCACATTTCACTTATATATTTTACTTTTACACGCTTATCCTAATTCTGCAGAATGTATCCGGTTCTGGAAAAGACATGGGTCAAGGTTATGTTAACTTCACCAGAAACTGCATGGAGCAAATAAGGCAAAAGATCACAGATGAGTTATGGATATTGACGTTTTTCGAACAGTGGTATACCAGTCAAATTAATATGCTTTGTAATTGGTTATCTGAACGGTTAGATCACAGTTTGCACCCCTACCAATGTACGTGCCTTGCTCATATTGTCAAGGTAAGTTATTCATTATCAGTGGTATCAACAAGTTGTCAAAATCGCCACCAATTTTAGAAAATATATTCCGATTTCGAGCTTCAAGGAGTTATGGAGGATAAGTTGAATTCTAAAGCTTATCAGACAATAGCTCAGAGGATGCAAACAGAAGAAGCAACTTGTGCTCTAACTATGGGGCAAGCAGAAGGGTAAGTGTCGAGGTAGTATATTTTTATATCCGGTCAACTATATGATTATTTGAGCTCATGATCATCGCCTTTCAATCCTTTCTAATTACGAATCATGCTTGCGTCTTTAATATTATATTCTCAGGTAAATAAGTCCTCCTTTTCTGTGCCACCATTCATAGTGCGTGTTATCTGATCCGTGATTTAGTTCTTCTATTTTTCTATATCTGCATTTCTTGTTTTATGTTTTTTTAATTTCTTCTTCTATTCCTCTTCTTTTCATGGTGGTGTAGGTTTCCTTCGACTACTGTGTTGGATAGGTGCCCACCACATACTTTTTCAACATATTCATTGATAGCATTGTCATTATGTGTTCTATCCGTTCTAACCTTTGCGATTTGACTACTTCCACTATATTCTCATAACCTAGCTCGTTTAATATATATGTTCTGTCATCTAGTCATTTAGTTAACAGTTGAAGAATTGTTTCTATAATTTTCATTTCATATTTGATAGATTGAATTAAAACCTCTTGCATAAAATTAATCTGTTAGAAACACTTTTCCCACACCAGAATAGAAATACTGTCTCGCGACGCGCGTTTCGCCAAATCACCATGTATGGATATATCAATCAACAGTTCGTGCAAATAATAAAATTGTTTGATCGAAATGGGTGTTCTGTTCGGGCAACGTACCGTGCGCTTCGCCCATTTTACGGTCGCCATAATCGCCCTACCGAGAAGACTGTTCGCAATGTGGTGGATGAATTTTAGTCCACTGGTTCAGTAAATGATCGACCAACACCCGTACGTCGGCAAAATTAAAGATCTGCCGAAAACATCGCCGCTGTCTATGAGAGTGTGCTGGAGAATCCGAGGCAGTCGATTTCTCATCGCTCACAATAACTTGGCTTTTCGTAGACCACAACTTGGCAAATTTTGCGTCGTGACTTGTACAAAATTCATCTGACCGGAACTGAAGGTAAACGAACATAAACGATGACGTGTGTTCGCTGAATGGGCTCTGGAGCAGTTGGCAACCGACCCAAATTTTCATCGAAAAATCATTTCTAGCGATGAGGCCCATTTCTGGATGAATGGGTACGTGAACAAATAAAATTGTCGAATTTGGAATGATATCAATCCAATAGCGTCCAATGCATCTCGAAAAGTCACTGTTTGGTGTAGATTTTGGGATGGCGGCCTCAACGGTACATCACTGTCAACGGCAAGCACTATAGGTCGGATAACCAACTTTTTTTGGTCTGAATTGCTTGACCATCGACATGTGGTTTCAACAGGACCGCGCTACGTGCCACACAGCTCATGTCACATTGAATATTCTGCACGATCGATTTGAATGCATGGTCATCTCATGTAGCCACCGGCCACCGAGATCGTTCGATTTCACCCCGTTAGACTTTTTCTTGTGGGATTTTCTTAAATCGCCACTGTATGCGGTCGATCAAACCCAGCTTGATTTATGCGCCAGAGAGAAATTAGACGTTTCGGATGTGCTCCACCCAAAGAAGCCGTGGGGGTGAAGCACATCCAAAACGTTCCTTTTTATTTCCTCTATATGTTCTAGTGCTAGAATGAATAGTGTGGTTTCTTGTTGAACGTGTATGTTGGTTATCCTTGAAATTTTACTCTTTCCCTAAAATCATCCATCACAAGATTTCTCAATATCTTCAGTTTTCAGGTATTCTTGTTAAATGTGCTTACTACAGATTATTTTCTTTCCAGTGGCATGGTGGATGGGTTGGATGAAGACGGTGACAACAGAAGTAAAACGAAAGTGACAATAATGGAAAGTTTGGGAGGTGAAGATGGTAATTTTGTTTCTAATGTTGGAACCATGATTGGAGGAAAAGTTGGAAATATTTTTGGAAAAGGTTTAGGAGGAATTGGCTCCAAATTAGGAGGAGGGACGGGCAGCTGGTTTTGAATTCATAAGTTGACATACGATATTATCGTTTTGGTTATTCATCCCGAAAAAAGTTGACCTGGTAACTGATGGTCCTCTTATGTAAAAAATATTCGTAACTGAAGTTTTGTAAATAATATTTTTTAATTAATGATCAAAGTAACACTGAGTGTTAGTTTACATGTTGAATGCTGTTATTTAATACTGATTTTCAAACACTTGAAATGGTTTCAAACCCCAAAATATGTAGAACCCAATGACTTAGATGAATGTATCAAGGGACCAGGTGTATCGTGTGAATCTGTTTTTTTTACCAAACCCTAACCTGTTTCTTGTATAAAGTATGAAACTGACTCTTTCGGTAGATCTTGAAATCCATATAAAATTGTAAATATTGGCAATGTTAATAGTTGTTACTTCAAGTGTTTTTGAATCAAATTGTATAGTTATCAAATTCAGCCCAATGAGTTAGTTAATATGGTTTAGAGAGTGTATCCGATCATAAACTTGGCTGTCATGGCAACCATAGTAAAGTGTGCAGATTCAGAACAAAAACAATTTTCCGCAAAAATTAACAGAAAATCAACCAAGTCCTTATGGTCCGATAACCCACTTACCTGTTACAACCATATATTAAAAATATCCTTTCTTTTTCCTAGTTGTTGAACTTTTTTCAGATTATTGCACTGGATGATTATTTGATAAAACTCTTTCCATGAAGAGGCATACATATCTATTTTTTTTTGATTATCTTTTAGGACCTAAATGAATCGATCGATTGATATTTGTACGCCTGTTCATTCCCGTTTATTCCCCACAAATATGTTTGTCATTCCATAACAAATCACCATAAATTACCAAATTTTAAAAGACTCCAATAATAATTCCAGGAAAACGATCACAACGGTACAAAGCTGATATTGACAATGTAAAGCAGTTATTCAAATATAACTGATAATTAATAGATATTTTCTTCAGTGATCAATAGGTTGATAAATCTGAGACATAAGAGAGGTGCCAAGGGAAAGAATTTAAATACAAAAATGAAAATGAAAGAGTTTGTTCTTTTATGTTAACATATTTTGAAAGGTTAAGGACTCAGTGTCGAGTCGAATTGACTCAAAAGATAGTACAGTAACACAGAAAATTCTGAGAAATCAACCTGTTTTACAATTCGAGGTGGTTCTATCTGCAAGAGCGTACATCAGCTCTATCCAGTGCAACACCTCACTCTACCTCTACTATTTTTCTAGAAATTTTCAATATATTCCTATACTATATCTTATCCAGTTTACGAATTGTTGCATATCTTGGAAATGTTATGAAGAAATATTTCTTATATTTCACTGAATTGCTTTGAGCCGAATTGTATTGTGATAGTAAAACGCAGACTATCTTTCATGAATATTTGCTTTGTATGCTGGCATCCCGTGTGAAGAGATTCAAAACGCGAATTGAAATGGAAAGGAAGTCGAGTCTCTACATTCCAATTTATAATAAAGTATCAACAATAAAAACTAACAAATAATTATTGCATGCAGTTTTAAACTATAGTTATATTTCACAAGAAGCATTGACGAGTACGTAACAAATATATCATATAACTAGTATATTGGAGTTATAATTTTCATTTAGTATGATGAGTCAAGTAGTTTGGAATTACGAAAAACTCCTCAATGTCTCGTTGTCTTTTCGAAATCTCACTCCAATTTTGAAATTGTTATATAAATAATATATGTATAGAATGCTTTGAACTTTAGTTATCATATATTTATTGAATTTAACCCACCTACATATAATATTTCATGGATGGATTTGCTAATATCTTTATAAACATTGAATAACCTTCCTCAATTCTTAATGAATGTAATGGTACAGGTCATAGTCCCCTTCTCTATTTATATTGCCACCTACAAGTTGACGACTAACAATGTTGGGCCTGTGATGTCAACAAGGAAGCAATGCTTAAATCTTAAATTCATTATTCTAAAATCTTCACAAGTTTCATATATACGGGCCTTATAATATTGTTATGTTCAACTCACATGTACTATGATAAATACATTGTTTTAATATATTTTTTTTCGAACCATTTGTCTTATTTAATGAAGTTACCCACGAATTTTCGCAGAGTTAGATACATATATAAAACACTTATAACTGTACAGTTCAAGCAAGTTATGGATAAACATGGTGAAAATTGTAATAGAAGCTTCTTGAAGTGTTTTTATCAGGAATTATTACTGAATAACATATCGAAAATCAGACAAAATCAACTCATGGGAACACCTCAAAATAACTAGTTAAAAATGGCACACTGAATACTTTCCATCTGAAATGGAAGGTAATTAATGTGCACAGCTATCTCTGTATTTGTAGAGTAGGGAGGGTGAGTGTAAACCTACAGCACTTAGGCCACATGTGACCCATTGTACATCCTTCCGATGAGTTGTCCTCCATCGTCCATCCTGTCCTTTCCAGGAAGGTGGACAGGTCACTGGGAGACATCTCCTTTATATCGGCAGGTGTAGGCCAAGACTAGCCGAACACACACTCTCTTATTGACGATAACTCCGGGCACTCGCACAGGATATGCCTGACAGTCTCATCTTCCTGTTCACACATCCTGCATAGAAGTGTGTCCACTAGCCCCATATGATGGAGGTGTTTCCTTAGTTGACAGTGGCCAGTCAGATATCCTACTATTAGGCGTAGATTTTTCCTGGTCATCGCCAGATATTTCTTCGGCGCCAGCTTCCCAGGGTCGCGATCCTAGCAAGATTGCCTCCTTTGATTCCATCCCATCTCTTTAAGGATTGAGCATGGGTGTAACATTTGACTAGTTCCGCAATTGTCGAAGTCATCAGGCCGTAGGTGCCACTGGGTCCTAAAATTCTTAGTCCAGCCGCTTCCTTGGCTAAAGAGTAAGCAATGCGATTACCTTTAACCCACCTCAGGATAATGTTATTATCTACCGAGGCTTTGGCTGAATCTTGGTGACACTCTAGTACTAGCCTTGAGGTGTGCACAGCTAATAGAAATATATTGTTTCACTTCGACTTGAACAAAATTATTCAAGCTACTTTTGGAAAATTTTAGGAATTTGAAATCAATGTGAAAGCCAAAAATTTATTACTATCTTCATCGTTTTCATGGTACCCACAATCGAAAGAAGGTTTATTGTTGTTTCAATCTTTATTTGACACCCCCAAAAGCTTATGAGTAGGAATGCTTCGCTGTCATATTATTCAATATCTGACTTGCAAATAATTCTGCATCAGCATGCAGCTCAGGTTCATTCATCAGTTTGAGAAAACATAATGATTGATATCTGTTCAGCAGTTCACCCTGTATAGTCACTAACCTCCCGGATGCCAGACACAACCCTGAGGTCGACGAGAAGAACAGGCAGAAGTTTACAAGCATTCAAACTGAACAGACACTAAATTACTATTTCACATTTTTATCTTTATGTTATTGAATAAATAAGCTAATGTCGTTTTCACAAAACTAAATTCAGTGCAACTTCATTACAATACCCAACAATATCGTTCAAATGTCCACCACGGCTTCTCTGGGTGGAGCACATCCAATTTTTCATGACTCTGACGTATAAATCAGGCTGAATTTGACCGATGACATGGGTTGTGTTGGCTTTGATGACCGCTGTGGTTTGTGGCTCATTCGCATACACCTGCGACTGACGAAAACCCCACAAGAAAAAGTCTAACGGGGTAAAATCGTACGATCTTGGTGGCCAGTTCACATCACCTCCACGAGAGATGACCATACCCTCAAATCGCTCGTGAAGAATATCCAATGAAGAATATCCAATGTGGCATGAGTCGTGTGGCACGTAGCGCCATCCTCTTGAAACCACATGTCGTTGGTGTCCAGACCATCCAATTCAGGCCAAAAGAAGTTGGTAAACATCTACCTATGGTGTTCGCCCCGACAGTTATGATCTGACAAACGTCCTTTTCAAAGAAATATGAACTGATGACGTCGCCAGCCCAAAATCCACACCAAACAGTGACTTATTCGGGATGCAATGGACGCTCTTGGATCTCGTGTGTCCCAAATTCGACAATTTTTCGATGTCAATTGCCAAACTACTCCAGAGTCCATTCAACAAACACACGTCGCTGTCAATGGTGGTTTTCCTCTACTTCCTCGGTCAGTTGAATTTTGTACGGGTGCAGGCCCAAGTCGCGACGCAAAATTCGCCAAGTTGTGGTTTGAGAAAGGCCGAGTTTTTGTGAGCGACATGAAATCGACTGACTCGGATTCTCCTGCAGTCTCTCACAGATAGCGATTATGTTTTTGGCAGATCTTGCGTTTCGTCGACTTGATCGATCGCTTCCAGAACCAGTGGATTCGAATTTATTCAACGCATTGCGAATAGTGCTCTCGGTAGGACGATTATGGCGGCCGTAAAATGGACGAAGTGCGCGGTACGTTGCCCGAACATAACACCCATTTTCATAAAACAATTTCAATATTCACACGTGTTATTGAATGCTTTATTCATCCATGGTGATTGGACCAAACAGACTCAATAAATGACAGCTAATTTGACAGATCTAGCTTTGACAAGATGGCCGTTATCAATTGTCAACGTTAGGAAGTCCCTATTGAAAGATCCTATATTTTTCAGACTGTGGGAGATGAACAATCCCAAAAGGTCGATTAGAAAATCTGATTTCCCTCATAAACAATGAATTTGGTTGGATGTCATTAGACGAACTATATTACCTTTTTCATTTTGTTAGTGAAGCACAAAGTCGAGCCATACTAATTTAGCCAGTTTAACCAGGTCATGTTCATGCTCAACGGTAGATTCTGTTTCAGAAAAACAGTGAATTGATACAAAGAACAGTCAGTACAAAATATATTTCATTGAAACATAAGAGATACATGATAATTTCCACTATTTACTGTCATTTAATATACTTGCTATAGAAACAGTGGAACAGTTTCTCGAGAGTAAAGAGCCAAAACAGGAGATTGACTACAAAAACAGTAAAAACGGCGTTTCTGATAGATGGCACAAGTCTTGAACATATTATCATTTCATTATTCTGATAACAGAATATTGTGCTCAAGTTCATAACGAAATTGTCACTTTAATGCTATCCACTCACCGAGCAAGAAGGTTTCATTTCGAGATTTGTGTACCAGTAGTTGATGTTTGCACCCGTATATTTTGAATTGGTTTGAGTTGGATTGAAAAAAAATCAATTCTGAAAGTACTCTGCTATTGTTTCCAAACTTTCTGGTTCTTCACCAAACTTCCTTCATTCTCGATGCCATTCTTGGGATTATGAATATCTTGAGTGCGGCCTCCTGACTTTGAATAAAAATAGATATCCCTTTATATAAAAATAGATACCCCTATTGTGTTCTTCGTGTGTTCTTATCAATATGTTCTGTTTTTGTAAATAGTATCGTTCTATTCTAGCTAACCATTTTTTTTCTATCGAATTCACAAAAAACAATCAATTTGAGTTTGCCCTGCCATCTCTCACATGGAGACCACATTAAAGAGTCTACCACAAATCGTCGTACAGATTTCTATTTTACTATTCGTACCAATAGTTAATAGGTGGTACTACCTCCGGTAGTGGAGAAATGATTAAGTTTGATTCATTTTTCATTCAAGTTAAATCATATTTTACATTGAAAATTTGAACCTGCCCAGAGCTGTTAAATTTTGTCATTATAAAATATGTCAAGTTCACAGAACGAAAGTCATTTTTGTGGAGGATAATCAGTTTTTATCGACCTTCTTTGGTTATTTTCACGTTCCACAAGCACAAAAATATGAAAATTGTGATAGAGAACCTTTTACAGGTCTGAAAAAGGCAAACATTTCAGTTCACCTTGATA